TACGTTTGTGTGTGTGTGTGTGTGTGTGTGTGTGTGTGTGTGTGTGTGCGTGTGTGACTGTCTTTTGCACGCACTCGCGCCCCTAACACACGTCGATGCTCTCCTTAAGGAATAAGCAGCTCGAGAGATAACACTTTCCCATACACATCAAGCCCTGACCGTGCCTGCCGTAGGTCGGCGATGCAGAGGTTGCCCTTTACCTCTAGGAATCTTTCTCACAAATCACACCACATCCTTCTCCTTTTTTGAGTCTTCTCTACTGTAACTCCAGAAAGAGCGTCAAATAGCCCTATCATTCTCGGGATAGGCTGTGGAGGAGAGCAGGTGCTGCGTAGCAGAACGAATATTGTTTCTCGCGATAAGTTTCAAGTTGGTCTGGCCCTGAGTTGACAATTATGTCGTTTTTTTGGCCACGAAAAATCACATGAGATCGTTCCCTTCTCTGCTCATAGAACGTGCCACGTGGTTCTGCCACTGTCCTCTGTGTCATTCCTTCTCGAAATGAAACTGATGCCCTGATGGACACCCTGCAACATATCCTGAGTAGGACAGTAATACAGTGTGCAATGAAATGAAGCTATGATTGAATGAAATTGGATGAAGTACAAGTGACTGGGGGGATGCTGTTCCCGGAACTTTTTTGGGAATTGATTAAACTTGAGTCATCTGATTTTCTTACTAACTGCTTAGTACTCTGGACAAATGGTGTCATATGTATCATGTGTTTTTTTACGCGGGAGGCTTATGAATTTGGCTGACGGTGATTCTTCTGTCTTCTGTCTCTCATTTTGGATTGCAGTGGGCGGACAAGGCTGCGTACGACGAGACCCTGAAGAAGTTGGCAGGGCTGTTCAGTAACAACTTCAAGAAATTCACCACACACAGCGTGGGCGGCGACGATGAACTCACCAAGCGCATCCTCGCTGCTGGCCCTCAGCTGTAGTTCCGATTCACCCGCTCTTTTTGGCGCCTCCCGTCCCGTCGTCATATTCATTGGGCTCCGTCGCAATAACTGTTGGCATCCAACACATTCAGATTTCGGCACAGGCTAGCTATCAAGTGACTCAAGCCGTCTAGGATTTATTCGTTTTGTTTGTCTGCATGTCTGTAGTAGTACCTGTCACAGCCATGCACTGCGCTAGTCAATGCGAGACCTCCACCGTGGTGGGAGTGACGAGATTTTTTTGGCCCAGGGCCGCAGGGCGTGGACATTCTTCTTCTGTTCTCTCCTCCTTTAGGCAGGCACTTACAGTGTTTGGAGCAATCCCCTTGGCCTTTGGCTTTTCGGGAAAGAAGGAAGGAAGGTGTGAAACCGCTGAAGTAGTCGGCGGCAGATTCTTCTCGGTGAGGTAGGAAAGGAAAAGCAACATCTTTTTGAAGGCTTCAGATTAGACTTCGGGTCAGGGAGGGAGATACTTTGACTCTTTGAGCCACATGACTATGATGATTGCCTTAGCTTTGAAAATTGAGTTTGACCTCGATATGCTTGTGAGCAGCCAATTGCGTTTTCATTTTGAATTTGACTTTGACCTCGAGATGCTTCTGAGGATTCAACAAGTAATGTATATATACTTCGGGACTCTTTTTTGAAGCTTTAGTTCGGCTTTCGCTCTGGGCCCTGGGATGATGGCATTCACAGAAGAACCACTCTCAAAATCTCTCTATTTTTCGCAAGCTCTTAGAATTTAGAAACTGTGACGGCGCTGTGGATGGCAACTGCCCCCCTTCGTATGGGTGGCATCATTGCGTATGCTTATTGGCCAACTCCATTCCGCGCATTATCCTCCTCACCGTTCTATCTCCTCGTTTTCCTTTGCTGGCACTGGAAATTGAACTTGGCCTTGATAACCATAACTGCTGGTCAATAAATAATAAGCATTCGTAGTCCTGATAAGCAAAAGCCATTCCGATGGCCTGGTCGAGCATCAAGTAGGCACGTGCACACCGGAGCATCCAAGTTGAGGGGCCGGGGAGTTAGGAGGTGCGGTGTTGGGGGGTGCGATGGGGGAGGCAGGGGGGAGCGCAGAGAAGGTTCCCCCCAGTGCCCCCACTGCCCCCAGGCTTTGTCGCACTCTGTTCCATCACGAAGTATGGGGAAAGCAATTATTTGCCGCAAATAGCAAATGTGTGAGAACATAGACCAACCAGGAGTATACCACAAAAGGTCCGCAAGGATTGAACGCGAGTAGAGAGACAAGCAAGAAAGCACTTGTACAATATCTCTACAACGTCCGACTCAGGAGGTAAACAGTACTAAACACTCAAGTTGTGACTCAACCAAATAATAAAGTGGACTGGGGTGAAACCGTGAAAGTTGAGCCCCTAGTCTACCCAATCACACACACACACACCCAACACAGGCGTCCACGCAGCCACCAACCAGGGCACAATCAGCAGGAGGTCCAAACGCATGACCTCCTCCTCAGACTACCACAGGCTACCAGTGTATCACAAACTCTTGATTAGGTAATAGGTGTTGCATTACCGAATTTCGGGCTATCATATGAAATGTGATTTTCCAGTTTCCTTTTGTCCTTCCCTTGAACAAATAACTACAGAATTATCTTTCATGAGGTCCACACAATCACCTTTGATCTTGTTATCCTCCTCCTTCCTCCTTCATGATGGAGCCATGCTTTGCAGTCTATGAATCCCCCTGGGCGGCGGCCAAGCGCGGCCGAATCCGCGGACGCGGCCAGGCCGCTGACCCCGCGGACACGTCGGGACGTGCGGCTTTGATGCCACGTGGCGGCCAGTGGGGAGGGGGTTTGGGGATTCGGGAAGCGCCATGGGGCTGCGCAACCCCAGCCCCACCCCCTCGAACAAAAAAAAATAAAAAAAACATTTTTTTGGTTGGGGGGGTTCGGGTGAGTGAACGTATTTCGAAAAAAAAAAAACAGCGCTTCGGCCTGGGCCCCCCCCCAACCAAATATGGGCGTGTAGATAAAAAAAAGCTCTACACGCCTATAGTTTTTAATAATCTTTTGTGACATCTACTGGAAGGGGAAAAAATGAAAAACGAAAATGGAAATAGAAAAGAAATAAAAACAAAATAAAACCGGTGATGA